ATATATATATATATATATATATATATATATATATATATATATATATATATATATATATATATATATATATATATATATATATATATATATATATATATATATATATATATATATATATATATATATATATATATATATATATATATATATATATATATATATATATATATATATATATATATATATATATATATATATATATATATATATATATATATATATATATATATATATATATGCATATTGGTTGGGGAATTAAATGATCTCACCTTTTAGTGTGGTTCTTGAAAGTCCTGCTAATGTATTATGATCAGACTTAAAAGTTAAGGTTGATAGGTTTTTGCCATTCAATTACCATGAGCCTGGCTCTTCTTGTCTCCTTCCCAGTCTCAAAATGGAAAGCTGAAGCCTTTCACTTTGAGTGCTGTTACTGTAGGTTTTCTCACACACACCCTTAGTAAAACTGTAAGTTCCCTTCCCAAAGTGGATGGAATGCGGACGCCTTGAGACGGAAGAGGGATACTAGGCTGGGGGGGACACGCTGACCCTCTGTTTTAACTGCTCCCACCCCCAGGAGCCTTGTCCCTCTGCAGGACGTCCTGCCGCAGTCCTCCCTTGCCAGGCTCTCCTCGTGCAGGAGGTGCAGGAAGTCGCTGGGTCACTGCCGACCCATGGGGTCTGGTCCACTGGGGGGTGTCTGAACTGCCTGTCGGGTCTGTTGCCCATTTTGCTGTCGGCTGCCTGCCTTTTCCTTTCCTGTCTGTCTGTGGCTTCCCGTGAGTTAACGTGGGCTCCTCCCTGTAGGACGACGTGATGATGCCGCAGAGGGTGAGGCTGCAACTCGAAGCCGCTGCTCGGCACCCAACAAGCGTAAGTGCTGATGTCTGGTTCTGTGTTTTTGCTGCGCCTGATAAGACTGTCATTACAGCCTTGTTTACTTTTTATATTTTTTCTTGTTACGAAGAGACCTGTTTATTACTAATATCACTTCATTTGGCTAAAACCACAAGAAGTCCACACACAAATACCTAAGTGCAAATTCTCACAGGCAGTGTTCATGATACACCCTGGTGTTTCCTTGGGGGAAATGGGGCGACATTGACGGAACTGTTAGAACAAGGGCACAGTCAGAGAAGTAATTCCTTCTTCACTGCGCACATTTTATTGCACATCCAGCAATGCAATAGCGAGGCCTCGCCGTGTACAGATCAGACTCCTGCTTGAGTGGCTCTCCTGAGATACGTGCTGAGTCACAACACAGACAAAATTACACCAGTCAGATCAGTGTGATGCACCTGGATCATTACAGCTTTTAAACGCAGAGTCTTCACTGGGGTGGGAGGCTGGTTTATGGGGAGACCACCCACGCAGAGGGCCATCTATGGCAAAAACATCCAGGGTTTTCCTTCAAGAGAGGACATGCCTCTTACTTGGGAGCGCTTGTCACCTTCCAATGGGCACATAGGGCTTCTTGATTTTGTTTATTTTAACCAGCATCTTGGAAGCTGTGCCCCTTGGACCTGAAAGCACAGGCCGAGAGCTGTAGTGTCAGCTACAGGGTTTAAAAGATGACTCTCACCACCTAAGTAACCTCAGTCGTGTTCTCATCTTTAGAACAGCTTCCCATTCGGCGCCAGAGCCAGGCCGTTGCATGGGGGTACTGTCCCAAGAGCCTGGGCTAGGGGCTGCGGTTTCCCCATGGCAGCCCATCCAGCGCCAAGTATGGGGTCGTCGTTGCAGGGGTCAACCCTGGGGTGGTGAGCAAGCAGCTGTGGAATCTTTGTGGCCATAGGGTCCTTGTGGGACATCCACCTGATGGAGTCAGTTGGCACGTTGCCCAAGATAACCTCCCTCATCCAAAGTCAGTGGTTACAGACTCCAGTCTAATCTGCCAAACCCTTCCAAGCAGTAAGCACACTGATGAGGGTGTAACTGTCAACAGCAGCCTCCCAAGTGGACACAAACCTCAGTGACAGAGGCTGCATGTGGCCAATGAGCCCAGGTCAGAGCTAGAGCCCAGAGCAAGAGGAAGGTGGGACACAGTGCTGGGAGGCATATCACCAGGGGTGTGGAAGCCGAGGGACAGGAGAGGACCCTTAGCCGGAGCTGTAAGCGCCGGATGTGGCTCTGGGACTCCCACCAGATCCAGAGAGTGCAGAGCTGGACATTCAGACTCCACGGTCAGGCTTCATGGATGTCTACGGTCACTGATTTAATCTCTCTCCCTTCCTGGTTGGGAAAGAGATCAGAAAACACACTTGGACACAGCGTTAAGACAGGGAGCTGTTTCTCCCGGGAAGCCACGTGGGAATGTCATCCAGCTCTGGGCAGTGGGCCAGATCTGGAACCTCCAGGCTCCCGGTCACCAGACATTGGATTCCTCTGTGGGGGTCAATAAGCCAGCCGCCAGCAATGTTGGTGAGATTTCTCAGTGACGTGAAAGGAGAGATTAGATGCACAAACAAGATTTTGTGGTCTTAGCCCTCACAGGTTTTGCTCAGTGGTTAGAGCATCGGCCCACGGACTGAAGGGTCCCGGGTTTGATTCGGGCCAAGGGCGCCTACCTGGGTTGCAGGCTTGATCCCCTGCCCCGGTCGGGGTGCATGCTGGAGGCAACCAATCGATGTGTCTCACATGGATGTTTCTCTCTCTCTCTCTCTCCACCTCCACTCTCTCTGGAAAGCAATGGATAAAATATCCTGGGTTCAGGATTAAAAAAAAAATAACGGAAGGTGTTGTAGTCTTGCTCCTTTCCTGGGAAGAGGAGGAGTGGGAAGGAACCCTGGACGGACTTCTGCTCACACGTCGTCTGCAAGGGCAGAGCAGATCCCGGTGTGCAGACATTTCTCGCCCTGCCTGACAGGTGTGGCGTGTTACAGATGGCACGATCCCGGAGCAGCAGCCCAGGTTTTCTGGAGCTTAAGTAGCACTTGACAGCCGAGCTAACTGCTTGAACCAGTGTCTTTGCTTTTGCCTGTCCCTGCTGACCATGGGGTCCTGTGACACAGTCGCACACACGTGGTCCGTCATGTGCC